TCTGAAATCGACTTTACAGCGCGCATACGGGCTGTCCCTAATTTTTCTAAATTTTTTTCGGAAAACTGAAACGCACTATCGGTACCTGCACGTGTCTCAAAAAGTCCCAAATCAAACCTAGGGCCCCTTTTGGCTAATATTGGAATTCTGGCACTGCGGCTCCGCCGTTCTCCGGCGACAAGTGGCGGCGATCCGCCACGGGTTGGCCGTTTTCGGCCAAACTTGCATCGGTCCCTGTGATAAAACAACCCTAGGGCCCTCGGTGGGCTAAAAAATTACGAAAAATCGAGACTTACCGGCGGCGGTGTTCTCGGGTGCGGCGGCTCCTCCGGCGTGAGTCACGTTTTGATGTTTGGCTCCGATCAACCTGTAGAGAAAAGAACGGTGATCACAGTAGTATAAAATTTGCATCGAACGGAGGCCGGGGAGGGCCTCATCGGAGGCAAAAATAGAGGGGAGTTGCGGCGGCAGCACCGGACTTCGGCAGGGTTTTTCGGCTATTTGGCCGGTGGTTTGGCTCCGATTTGGCCATAGGCGGATTCAGCATCAAAAAACGAGATAGGGGGAGAAAATTTACCTCGATTGGCGGTCAAAAACTTCTCCGGTGCGGCGGCAGGTGGCGGCGGCCGGCTCCTCCGGCATCTGGTTCTTCTTCTCTGGCGAGGCACTGGCGGCTAGGGTTTTGTGGTCAGGTGTGGGTGGGGTTATTTATTCCTTTTGCCTTTTAATCTCAACCATCCATCAAGATTAAATCTGGACCGTCCGATCGCGATTTAATTGGGATTAAATCTGGGCCGTCCGTGCCTGATTGAATTTGGACCGTTCGTACGCGTGAATCTGGGTCGTCTGTGCGCGCGAGAACGGATCTGGGCTGTCCGATCGCGCGCATGCGGATCGCCCACGTGGCCGGTCCCGTGTCAGCATTTCCTTGCCACGCGGCGTGTCTTGGTTGGCCGGGGCTGCTGACCAGGCTGCTGACGTGGCACAACTTTTCTAAATTGCGTTTTAACCCCCAGTTTCCGATTTTCTTTTCAAAAACACTCACAGAATCCAAATTTTCATATATTTTTTCCAAAATCAATTTCAATTAAATTCAAATAATATTTTTACCCAATTTTATCATTATTATTATTTTTATTTTCATTAAATTAAATTAAACTAAATAAAATAAAAATCTAAAAAAATTCAAATACAAAAAAAGAAAAATAAATAAAAATAATAAAAATGATATATAAAAAAAATATTTGGGTGTTACATATGAAATATATAAACTATAATTAAATTTTATGTACAAAATAATTCAAAAATTTAAGAATTAAATAGAATATAACAAATTTAAAACAAGCATAATATAGATTATTTTTAATTCCTTCTCTTAAAAATATTTATAATCATAATCTTATGAGTTCATTAGTATTATTTAATTTTATTTTATTATAAAAATATAATTCGAGAACAAAATATTTTTAATTATTAAAATATTAGATTCTTTTACATAAATAAAAAATTGATTTGTCTATATTTTGAACAAATAAAAAATAATATAAAAATCCATTTAAAAATCAATAATTAGTTTCATAAATTAGAGCTGCCAAAAATGTTACACTAATGTGAAAATATTCGAGCACGCCAAGATATTTGTGATCCATGCGAGAAGTATTTCGTGAATATCTCAAACTCTTGACTACTCTCGGAATAATTCCACTCCTCAAATTCTTCAGCGCTTCAATGGCGGACTTGGCGGCGGGAACGGCCGGGGAAACGTCGTCGTTAACTTTCTCCTGTTTGTCCTCCACGTAACCGCAGCCACGTTAACGATAAGTTTACCGGTGCGACACTGTCTTGAGTAGGAATAGGAACGAATATGGTCTATGATTCTTGAATGGTGGCCGCGGAAGACAACAGTCAGAACGCAGTAGTAGCTTGATCTCCCAAGGGATCGCAGAATCCTAAGGACTCTTTATTAAGTCGAATTGGAGTCGCTCCTCAGGAGATTTCTATCTTCAGAGAGCGTATTTAGAGAAGACCGGTATCCATGCCTGTCGGATCATCTTCTTCTCCGAGATCGATGCAGAACTGGCGCTGCACACTATAAAATTTTGGAAAGAAATGACCGATGATGGCAGTGATATGGTCGCGGATGGTGACCGGACGTTTCAGCGGTCACTAAATTGAACTCGAAGTCTAAGTCGTCCATCTTCATCTTCATCAGCGCATTACCGAGAAACCAAAGAGCGAAGGGTGACTGTGAATCAGACAGGGGAGAGTCAATTTATAAAGATCCCGGTTGGGAAAAGGTACCCCGACCGGGGAAGACCAGAATCTCAATCGCAAAGGAATCGGACGAGTTAGGTTTTGCCACGTCATTAGATCGCTTTTATATTTCTAGTCTATATTTTTCCCTTGAAAAAAAAAAAAAAAATTATCCTGGTTCTGGGAACATTTATAAGGCGCCTGTCAAGCAGCCTTCTCTTCGTTCCATCGCTCGGTCACTCTCATCGAAACCCTGATTTAGAGAACGTCGTTAATTGTTCTTCTGACCATCTCTGCCGTACCTAGGGTTCTTGTCAAGCTCTAATCATGGATCATTATTATCAGTATCATCAATGGCGACCTAGAGAAGCCCAACCGAACATATGCCCTGTTTGCACTATGTTGCACTTCCCGTTTTGCTCTCCGCAAGCGCCCTACAATCAGGAGAACCCTAATTTCCCACCTCAGGCCCATTACCCTCGACCCGGGTTCTCCCCCTATCCGGCACCGCCGAGAGCGCACCACTTCCACCGCCCCTATGCGGGTGCAGCTAACTCTACTGATGCTGGCTTCTATTATCCGAGACCATGGCAGCAGTCCGTGAACGATTCATACGGTAGTGCTGATGGTTATAAAGGCGAGGTGGATAGGAGTTATAAAAGGCCTAGGGTTGATGAGATCGGTTCTCATTCTGCTTCAGGCTCCTTTGCTGACGAGGGTTATCAACAACCTGTGACGATCTCGTTGGAGGATGAGCGGAGACTGAAGCTGATCCGTGATCACGGTGGTGCTGGTTTAGAAGGAGTAGCAGTGCCGCCTAGGAATCCGGAGATGTACAACTTTGAAGACGCCGCGAGCGTTGCCTCTGTTAACAGGAAAAGGCCGTTTTCAGAACAAGGACAAAACTATGTACTGAATAATGACGGAAATGGATTCCATAATGCAAACAATAATAAGGTGGATCAACAGGGAAATCTAACTCAGCGTTTGGCTTATTCTACTACTGATAGTTACTATACTCATAATTCACAGCAGATTCAGCCAAACGATTCAATGCCCGGGAATAATTGGCAAGCCTCTTATGATAAGGAGATGAGTTTTAGCGTTGCGATGGGGAATAATCAGATTAGACCACCGCAACCATATACAATAGAAAATTCTAATTATGCATCCCCAGAGGAAGTTACTGTTCCTGGAGCCGCTTTTCGGACGGTGAATACGAATGCACGAGGGGGGTACTTAACGATGGCCAGCGGTCAGCCTCCGCTTCCTGCTTCTCCACCGCCGCCGATTCCTTTGGATCCGCCAATCCAGCAGTTTACGGCTCGCTCATCGCCGCCAAACAAGACCTTTACTTTGTTTCCTGTTCCTGTGAACTCCTCTGCTATGGGTAATTCATCTTATCCAACAGTTGCTGAAGCTCATTCCTCGTCACAGCCTTATTATCATCACACACCACTTCCGCATTCATCTACTGCGTTTAATACGGAGGTATACCTAAGCTGATTGTTATGAGCTTCATTTATATCTTCTTTGGTAATTTGGGTGCATTTGGATTTTGTATCTGTTAAAAGTTCCTTCTCTGATGAACCCAATGGTTCTCATGCCATTTTCCAGGCATCGTCTATGCAATATGGAGTTGATGGTAAAGCTTTCCAGATGAAACAGATATCTTCAGATATGCCTAAAGTAATTGATGCTTCTCAATTGTTCAAGCCACCTCATCGGGCCTCCCGTCCTGATCATTTTGTGATAATATTACGAGGCTTACCAGGTTGGTCTCTTGAGTTGTATGTCTTATGAATATTTATACTTTTTATTTAAACAAAAAAATCTGAAGATACCAGATGAGCTTACAAAATATCACAATATAAGATCGCAAAACCTACATTTGTGGATTCAAGCCCTTTTTCATCCTTTAAAATGTTGGTTCTTTATATTTGATGTGAATCAAAATTTCACTAAGTGGGAGAAAATTCAGTTGATCATAACTTGAATATATATATATATATATATATAGTGTTAACTCGCATTGGTGGTTTAAGTACAAATTTTTCTTGACATTTCTCCTCTTTTTATGAGTTTGGAATATAGGAGGATGATTGTAATTGCTTATGGTTTATGTGCCTGCTCCATTAATTTGCACTTGCAAAGGCAGGAAAATGATGCTTTTAGGTTTTTAAAAGTGATTTTAAGAAGATAGTAGACCTTATTTTTTACTTTTTAGGTGCTTATTTTTTAATATAATAAATTTACTTAGCTTCTTTTAGTATAGCAGATTTTTTTAACTACTCATCTTTATATTCACTTAAAGCTAATAATATATGTGAAATTATGTAAACTATAAATTATTTGTTATAAATATATAACTTTTATTAATTTTTTTTAAAGAATTATTTTTTGTAATTAACACTTCATCCAAGCACGTAACTGCTTATTTTTTAAATCAAAATTTGTTTGTTTCAAGTATCTTACTCCTCTAAGTAACATACTGCTTTAAGCAATTCCAAACACTCTTTAGGTTTTCTATGATCTTTGTTGCACCTGGCAGCTTTAGCTTTATTTTGGTAGGGTTTGAGAAAAAAATTTCTTTTCTAAAAAGTATGGTTTTAGTTGCTGTTATTAAAAGGGTACACTAATCAGGAATACTATAGTACTTAATAAATTATCTTTGACAAAATATTATTGATGTGCTATAGGAAATACTTGTATTTGGTGATAATGTATCTAAAGACATTATCGGAATACAAGTGTTGTAATATAATTATGCTATTTTTTAAACAAAACTTTTATTTGTTTAGAAGTTGAAGAAATTTCATCTTAAACTTCTGGAAAGACTATGGAAATATTTAGTGAGTAATTAGAATTTACTAATTATTTTTTATTTTCTTCTCTTGAAAGCAAATTTTATTGTTTTGAGAAAGTAACCATGTGTTTGCTTTCTAAAAGGAGCCAAATTTGCTCTTTCTAATTGAAATTTATTAAAATAAGAAAAACTAAGAAATACATCACCGGGCACTAATTTTCTAAAAACACTATCATCTTGGAAAAAAAAAGCAACTCAGAAAGCACAACTAAACGAAGCCTTCGCCTCTCAGTTTGTTTATTGTGGCTTCTTACTCCTTTTTTTCTGTTTTCCCTTTGTATAGAAGACAGTTTTTATTGGTTAAAAGAGAAAACAAAAAGTTATCTTGGGATAATGCAATTAAAGATGCAGTTAAAACTGTAAATTATTAAATGGTGTAATAATTCATGGTAGAATTCTGAAATTGCTGATCTGGATGTTGCTAATGTAAAAAAAGGTGATTAAACTTAAATGATGGATGGTAATTGAAAAGCTCTACCCCACTTAAAATATTGCAGCAAGTTGATTTCCTGGACTTGCATAATAGGACAAAACTTTCATTGATCCTGAACATAAATTTGATGCTGTTCTATATTATAAAAAATCATTTTATATGTGCTCTAGCTTGTTTTATCTTACTTCATACTGGCACTATAATCTATAAAAGTGTTTCACTTTTCTTTCCAGATGCTCTATGGTGAACTCCTAAAAAAATAATGGATTTGGTAAAGCATATTTAATATTCTTGAGCATGTTCTTTTGTCTTTTCTATCTTATTTATGCATTTGTCATGTTTACAGGTAGTGGGAAGAGCTATTTAGCAAAGATGTTGCGCGACATTGAGGTTGAAAACGGGGGTGATACTCCGCGAATTCATTCTATGGATGATTATTTCATGACTGAAGTTGAAAAGGTTTATTGCTTCCAGAATTCTTTTTTTGGTGTTCACATAGAACCCTTATTGGTCTTTTCATGTCTGGTTTTAGACATCATACACATCACATGGTACACACTTGAATATGTGTACCAAATGGGTAATGGAGACCCAATCATTGAAACATGTTTTATATTATCCCTAGCATTTGAACATTACTAAACATATGAATCATTATTTTCTCTTACATTTTGAAGATTGAGGAGAATGATGCATCAAAATTATCAAGTTCAGTTTGGAGCACGAAACCTGTGATAAAGAAGGTGATGGAATATTGTTATGAACCTGAAATGGAGGAGGTAATACCTGTTAGATTATGTAGAATGTCATAATATGGTGTTATATATGTGTATATTCTTCTTCACATGAAAGACCTTTGCCTTGCTTAGATTGTAAATCATATAAGATATTTTTCTTTTTTGGAAGAGAATCATATAAAACATTTTATTCAAATATTTTTAATAAATAACAAATTGGAATCAAAATTGCTGTTAAATTTTAAGGGATTATGTTTAAAGGTGTTAGTTTCTTTCTCCAAAAAGGTTGTTAGTTTCTTGTTAGGAACAAAATATCTCTTTATAAGATTTGCAACAGTGACAAGCTTAGATATTGCTGTGGTCCCTAAAATAGGATCTTGGTTAAGGTGTAGTGACCGCGAATTCCATTAAACTTTTAGAAAGTTTGCTGGAATTTCTTCCTTAATTTCCAATGTCTAATAGATTGGAAAGGGCTCATTAAGAGTGGACCTTCTATCTCTTGACGCTAGGGTCTTGTGGAGAGAGAACCTTTCAGTCTCTTGGATATGGAGGCAAGGCTCATTAACAGAGAGAACTTTGATCTGTTTGTTTAGAAGAAACTCCTATTTTCTTAAAAGGCAAATTTTACTGGCTGCTTTGTTGATAGGAACTGCAGATTTATATACGACATAATAGAAAAGATAATGATCTTACAACAATCTCCTAAAAGAATAGGTGATTTCCAAATTCCCTGGATAAATCCCAAAACTATCTCTAATAATTTTTTCCTACATCTAATAAAGCTAAAAAGATACGAACAGTTTCACACAAACCTCCAACTGCAGAAAATTTAATTGAAGTTTTTGTTTGGTCTTTGTGTGTAAATTGCTTGTTAGCCCGAAACACTGCTCCGTCCCCCGAAAGCGAGCTTGTCTTCAAGCATCTTGGAAGGGTATCTACTACCTTGTAGTTAACAGCCTGTAGACTCAAAGGCAACCCTGTCATGTTTTCTCTTCAATTGCCTTGCTCTGTTCTTGTTTTTTTTTTTTTGAAAGTAATAAATTATTAGTATTAATAGGCACCAAGAGAATGCAGCCTGTGTACAGGTTATTTACATGTCTATGAAGATATCAATAATGTCTCCAAAATCCTCATATGAATAAAGAGGATTACTCTTAATCAAAAAGCCAGGGTCTTGAAGCAAGAGTCTTTATTTCTACAAAAAGTAGATTCTATGCTCTCAACGGTTCTATTTCTTTCCTTCTAAATAACCCATAAGATAGCCAAGGAGATAAAGCTTGCTCTCTTCATACTTGGTCATGAGCATGTCCAGTCCTGATAATTTCTAGAAGGAAAGGAACTGTTGATGGAAAAACATAAGGCTCATTAGATCTTGTGATTGTGACACCCAAGAAGAGGGACATCTACAAAAAGTAGATTCTATGCTCTCAACGGTTCTATTTCTTTCCTTCTAAATAACCCATAAGATAGCCAAGGAGATAAAGCTTGCTCTCTTCATACTTGGTCATGAGCATGTCCAGTCCTTGATAATTTCTAGAAGGAAAGGAACTGTTGATGGAAAAACATAAGGCTCATTAGATCTTGTGATTGTGACACCCAACAAGAGGGACAACTACTTCAAACAGTCATCCATAACTTTTGGATTTGACACCAATTGTTTAAACTAGGATCTGGTTATGGGATATGCTGACTGTAATTTCCAGTAAACTTTTAGAGAGTTTGCCGGAATTTCTTTCTTTATTTCCAATATTTAATAGAGTGATAAGAGTTCATTAAGAGAGAACTCATTGATCTTTCAAGGATAAGGGCTCATTAAGAAGAGATATAGAGTTGAGGGCTTACTAGGAGAGAACCCTTTGATTGCTCGAGGGTAGAAAGAAGCTCTACTTTACTTAAAGACAAATTCTGCATGCTGCTTTATTTAGAGGAACTGCAGCTTTATATCCATCATTAGAGACAAGCCAAGATCCTTAACCTAGCTCTTAAATAATAAGTAAACTTAAAACTGCCTGGCTAACGTCCAAACTATCTGGAATAACTTCTTCCTAACCTAACAAAAAAAAAATTAAAAAAAAAAAAAACAAAGAGGCCAAGACTAGCTGCAAAGGAACTCTTAAGGACTTTTACATTTTCTTGTATTCGTCTGTATTATTACTGATTGGCTCATAACAGATATTTTACAAGTTGTTGATTTTCTTGTTCCTTGATGGAATTAACTCTGGCTTGTTGAAGGGCAACCTCCAACCATTAGAGTACTCATTATCTGTAAGTTAAAGGAAAAAAAGAGAAGGCAAAAAATATTTGCTGCCAAATCACTTCTCCATAAACTGATATTAAACAAGTACTTTGGTTTGGGACATTGTTGTGTGGCATTTAGTTGAATGCAGACGAGGCTTTGCTTGAATTCCTTTGTTGGATAAATTGGCTTATGGAACCTCTCAGTTTTGGTTATCCCATCGTAACAGGTGGTTGTTGATAAGTGGACATTCCACATACTGTTTTCGTTTTACTATATTTCTTTTGATTAAGCTGATGACTAAATCTATGCTTTGGTTGTCTTATGTGGGTCATGGCCCCTTTTGTATTGCCATTTTAAATTAAATAAATACCCCAAATATGCAACAAGTTTTGATAAATTTCTATCTTTCTTGTGCATGATGTTTGCAATTTCGTTGTCTTTTGAAATACTGGTACCAATGTGTATGGGCTTCAGGCTTATCGAACAAGCATGCTGAAAGCTTTTAAGAGGACTCTTGAGGAGGGGATTTTCACTTTCGTAATCGGTATGAGTTGCCTTTTCTTTATCTTATCACCATGTTTAAGGATACTGGCAATTTTTAGATATTTTTTTCTTTTCTACTGTTAACTGGTGTCCTGTGTTGAGAAGTGGGTACTAATATGGTGTCTTGGTTTCTTTTGGTTTAATGATGATGAGGAAATGGCTTTTTGGGTTTTCCATTCCAGAAGGCAGGTTCATGCAAAACCTCGCTGAATTGTATTTAGTTTAGGGAGATTAAGATGCTTTTACTGTTTTCTACCAAAAAAATTTCACTCATTAGGCATTTAAACTAAGATGAAATACTTCAAGGTTCTTCCAGTTATGCTGGCTTATTACAGAGATCAGCGATTCAACAATCTAGTTTGGTTGTAAATTAAGTGGTCCAGTGCCTGTGCACTGCTTCTTTCACTAACTACAGATGCAGTTTTGTTTCGGCAATTGACCCTTTTGTTGCTGGTATGTGTGCCTCGTCTTAGTGGATGACCGCAATCTGCGGGTAGCTGATTTTGCTCAGTTTTGGGCAACCGCAAAGGTATACTCTTAATTCTTTCTTCCTTGCAACCACTGCAAGTATGCATTTTCCTGTTAGCTGGAAACACTTTAAAGGTCTGCAGGCCATCCTGTTGTTACTTAATTCTTGTTGAGGTTTAAGCATATGATCTCAATTTGCTTCGTTTGTATGCTGTTTTTCTCTTAGTTACACTGACCTGTTAGTTAATACTTGTGGGTTAGTGCTTATTTTTTCATCCTTGTTGTCCTTCAGCTTTTCGAGCATTCTGGGGCTTTTTAGATATTTTGACAACCCTTAGATTATGGATCCTTATCTTTTTCTCTCTCTGTATCTGCAAGAGACATAGTTATTTTATGCAAGTTCATCACCCAGTTCTTGTCTTACAAGACAAATATTTTCTAAATCTTCTGCTCTGGTGCCTTATTTCAGATTTCCACCTCCTCTTCTATCATCTTACCCCCTTACCCCACCATTTCTAGCAATTGCAAGTTTTTGTGTTGTCAATATATGAACTCTATTATTACCTCTTGGGATGAAATAATAATCTTCTATTACATTATTGGGAAGATTATTCATAAATGGAAAACACTGAACAATGAGGAAGATGTGATGTGCAATAAGTTTTTTTTTTTTTTGGGTTTTCTTCTGACTGTGAACTTGCTTTGTCTCTTGATCTTGTTTGACATTTTAGTCCGCTCCTTTTGCTATTAAACTTGGCTAGAAGAATATCGTAATTAGCTATTTGCAATATTGGAAATGGCATATTGTCCATCTACTTTATTAGATTTCCTTGAGTGCTTGAGAGTCCAATTTGTTTGTTGGTGCACCCAAGTTTAGTTTTTGTTCCAAAATGCTTCTTGACTTGTTTCATGCTTTTTCACCTGAGAGCTTACTTATTGGTTGATTGGGATGTGGTGTTGTTTTTTCTAGGCTGCCATAATTTCAACACATCTTATTGTATTTCCTTGGCCATTTTAACAATGGATTGTTCTGTTACAGTTGGAGCAATTTTTAATTACTAAGTAGTTGTATTTCAGTATAGGGCCTTGGGCAGTTGTTTGAATTTTATCATCTATGGTTGTTTGCCTTTGCTTGAATATGCATTTATTGCGCCTTTAGTTGTTATGCAGATTGTGGTTTATTTTATAATTTTTTGGTGTCTAGTTACCAATTTCATTATGTTTATGATAATTTTATGAAAAATTTTGGTTCACCTTTAAATGAAAATTTTGAAAGAAGATGTTACAAAAGGTTCAAATTTTTTCAAGAATGAAGGAACTTGGAAAACTCAAATAACTTCACAACAATCAGCAATACTTCTTAAGATCATTTGCTGCTGTTGAATTGAGGCACCCAGCTTGATCTCTAATTCACCTGAGCATTGTTTCTAAACTGCTGGATTTTTTAATGAAGCACTTCCATTATTTGGTTTTCGCTATATGATGCTTAAGTAGTATGGTTTTTTGGGATCCTTTGATTTTGAGGTTGGGTGTGCACTGTATGAAAGGTGGTCCATTTGAAATCCATATTTAGGGGATTTGTTGATGGACCTTTATATGGGGAAACCAATGCATTTCTTGATGATTAGCATAATTCACTGAGCGTTGTTTCTAACCTGCTGGATTTTTTTAATGAAGCACTTCCATTATTTGGTTTTCGCTATATGATGCTTAGGTAGTATGGTTTTATGGGATCCTTTGATTTTGAGGTTGGGTGTGCACTGTATGAAAGGTGGTCCATTTGAAATCCATATTTAGGGGATTTGTTGATAGACCTTTATATGGGGAAACCAATGCATTTCTTGATGATTAGCATAATTCACCTGAGCATTGTTTCTAAACTGCTGGATTTTTTTAATGAAGCACTTCCATTATTTGGTTTTTGCTATATGATGCTTAGGTAGTATGGTTTTATGGGATCCTTTGATTTTGAGGTTGGTTGTGCACTGTATGAAAGGTGGTCCATTTGAAATCCATATTTAGGGGATTTTTTGATAGACCTTTATATGGGGAAACCAATGCATTTCTTGATGATTAGCATAATTTACCTGAGCATTGTTTCTAAACTGCTGGATTTTTTTAATGAAGCACTTCCATTATTTGGTTTTCGCTATATGATGCTTAGGTAGTATGGTTTTATGGGATCCTTTGATTTTGAGGTTGGGTGTGCACTGTATGAAAGGTGGTCCATTTGAAATCCATATTTAGGGGATTTGTTTATAGACCTTTATATGGGGAAACCATGCATTTCTTGATGATTAGCATAATTCACCTGAGCATTGTTTCTAAACTGCTGGATTTTTTTAATGAAGCACTTCCATTATTTGGTTTTCGCTATATGATGCTTTATATGGGGAAACCATGCATTTCTTGATGATTAGCATAATTCACCTGAGCATTGTTTCTAAACTGCTGGATTTTTTTAATGAAGCACTTCCATTATTTGGTTTTCACTATATGATGCTTACGAAGTATGGTTTTATGGGATCCTTTGATTTTGAGGTTGGGTGTGCACTGTATGAAAGGTGGTCCATTTGAAATCCATATTTAGGGGATTTGTTTATAGATCTTTATATGGGGAAACCAATGCATTTCTTGATGATTAGCATAATTACTATATTGTCTTTAACGATGACGATACTGATGAGGCTAAATGACAGTACAGTTGATTTTTGCTTTCATTTTCTGTTAAATTTCTCTGCTAACTGAGCATTATATTCTTGCAGCGATCAGGCTATGAAGTTTACATATTAGAGGCTACATATAGGGATCCAGTGGTCAGTTTCTTAAGTTTTACATTCTTTTTGAGTTATATCAGTGATTTAAGTTTATAATTTTCTTCTGAAACTTCTGTCATTGGCACAATTTCTTATGATTCCCATATATGTAATTTTTTTTTGGTTTTTTCCCTGTAATTTTTTTTTAGTTTCTTTTATTTGAAAAGGAAGTGTTGACAGGCAAGATTGGAGTTCCTCTCCCTCAATTCTTCCATTATGCTGATAGCTAGATGGATTTTCAGGGTTGTGCAGCTAGGAATGTGCATGGTTTTACACTAGATGAAATACAAAAGATGGCGGGACAGTGGGAGGAAGCTCCATCATTATATATGCAACTAGAAATCAAGGTCTCCTGTCATTGTTTCAGTTTGTTTTTATTTTTTTAATAAGAAGAATTTGGTGTGGATGTTGGGAAGTTCTATAAAGAAAAAAAATTGTCAGAAAAAGTATTTGACTAAAAATTGTCGATTTAAAAGGAAGAAATAAAAAGTTATACTATCAACTGGGGATTTATTAGCAGATAAAGTACACTTTAAAACCTTGTGGTTTAAATTTTTTCAATTTTCGTACTTTTGATTTTTTTGCTGGAATTTAGTGCCTGTTGTTTCATAGTTTCTCATTTTACATAATACGATTAGGTTTTAAGGACATTGATGTTCAAGATAAGCAAATCAAAATTAGGAAAAAATCCAATATATTAAAAAAGTGACAGTCTTGTTTAAAATGAAAAAAGATAAACCAAACCACATGGTATTTTGCCCTGTAATTTGCTCTTATTAGCCTATGATATTTTAATAAAATTGAGGACCTTTCTTGTTAATTTTGTCACTTGTATTATATCTGATGCTATGTTTTTTTTTTGGCTCTGACAGTCATTGTTTCATGGGGATGACCTGAAGGAAAGTGGAATTCAAGAGGTAAGTGCTTTTCCTTAAATGGATCCTATTTTAATGGGAACTTGATGAGTTGATCTGTCTACACGTCTTGCTTCTACTGCTATATTAGGAGTTACTCCACGTATTGTTTGA